GCTCAAAATCTCTGCTTGCGGGAGAGGGGGTTTCCCCTCCTCCTCCCTTAAATCTTTTCGCTGGGGGGGGGCGCGCTTAAGTCTTTTTCTCGATGTCAGACAACTCACAGTTTCAGCCGCTTCTTTTCTTTTTCTCCGTTCGTTCGCTTCATCACTCGGTGACCACAGGCGGCTCCGCTAAACCCCGTACAGGGTCGCTTGCGTGGCAAGGTCCATTGGGGCATGGCAGGGAGGCTCAGTTTCCGACCTTACGGCCGAGAAAGAGACTCCCGCCTTCGCACCCCGGGTCGGAGCCCCTCTTTCTGGGGCTCGTCTGGGTCTCCGCTTGCGCGGATTCCCCCCTCGACTGCGGGCGGGTGAGACGCCCTCGGGAGCGACCCGAGGATGCATCCGCCATTCGCGGGAGCCAGACCGGAAGTCGATTCCTCCATAACTCTTGACTTCTGGCTTGTTCATTGGTAGTGGAAAGTGCTGTCAAGTTGCAGCCAGCCCATGGTGACTCTGTAGGGTTTTCAAGGCAAGAGTCATTCAGAGGTGGTTTGCCATGGCCTGTCTTTGTGTAGCAACCCTGGACTTCCTTGGTGGTCTCCCATCCAAGTACTAAATGAGGCTGACAATGCTTAGCTTCCAAGAGCTGACAAGTTTGGGCTAATCTGGGCCATCCAGATCAGGGATTCTGTTCTTTACCATGATACATGTCCTGTTGATCAGCTTATTGTGCAATTGGAAGGTACCTAGATCATTTGGTCCAACTCCCCCTGCTCAGTGCAGAATATGCAACTGAAGCATTTCCAACAGAACCAGCCTCTGTTTCCTGTCCCTGGCTCTATTGTTCTGCTACCCACAGTTCAACACCGGCAAAGTCGTATTTCTGTCCCCTCCTCTTCCTATCACATGACTCCGATGTTGTGGTACTTGCTGCTCAGTGAATTTCAGGTCTGGGAAGGTTGAAGACCACCTGTCTATCATACAGACATGGAGGCGTATGGGTTCAAATCACTCTTAGCCCTGAATGACACTCTGGGCAGTTAGTCACTTCCTGAACCCAACCTGCATCCCAGGGCTGTTGTAATGGAGGAATGGTGGGATAAGATCATGATTTGTATATCAATGGATGGTTTTGATGTCCAAATAATATTTGATCACTTATAATTTATTAAAATTAAATATCTATCTATCTATCTATCTATCTATCTATCTATCTATCTATCTATCTATCAGTGTGTGTATATATATATGTGTGTGTGTGTGTATATATATATGTGTGTGTATATATGTGTGTGTGTGTGTATGTCACGTGTGTGTGTGTGTGTGTGTGTATGGAAACTGTAAAGACATGTGATTGAAATGCAGCTAGCAGAAATATTGTATGCATTGCTGGAAGACCTGTAAAAAACAAAACAAAACAGTCTTCATCACAGATAAAATACATGTTTGCTATAATATTAATATTACTTAAATTAATGCTATTCTGGACCCTAAAATATGTTTAAACCTGAAAGGAACACTTTTGTTACTGTTTCATATTAGTGGCACGTGAAAAGATTTATGCTAAACATTTCCATATTATGGATGTTCGTTATTACAGAATGGCTGTTAAATCTGAGACTTCGTTGTTATGAATAAAATTATGGATTATGCTCATGTAAGAGTGATGACAAAAAATCAATATGTTTAGGGGAAGATGGAAGTAATTTTAAGAATGATTAGACTCGTTGGGAAGCTCTAATAGGATATAGTTTTACTATCCTTTTTTAGAGAATCTCAAAATGCATAAGCTCTGATGTGAAATTAAAAGTATATTGTGAGAACATTAGGGAAAGTGAATGAAGACTTTATGGATGTACTTTTCCAGGAGTTCCTTAATCTTGGGACATGTGTACATAAGGATACTGGAAAGTCTCTTCCCTCCTATGTTCATGCATGCCAGACAATAGGACATTTTAGAGAGACATGAAAATATATCTTTCTCAATGTGTACTGTCCTTGTAGTCACTGGAGCTAACTGATTTTTAAAAAGGAGTCTGGTTTTTGTGTTACAGCTGAAGCTCTTTGGATTCAGTTCCCTATGGCTGCAATCACACACACACTCAATAAACCACTTTCAGTCCACTTTCCAACTGGATTTTGCCAGTTCACACAGCAAAAATCCAGTTGGTAAGTGCATGGAAAGTGGATGGAAAGTGGATTATTGAATCTGTGTGATCACAGCCTACAGCAGGGAGCAGGGCTTTTTTGTAGGAAACCCCCCCCAGCAGGAACTCATTAGCATAATAGGCCACACCCCTGACAGTTCAGCTCATTAGCATATTAGGCCACACCCCATGCCTTCTCTTGGCTTGCCCGGGCAAGAAGGCCCTTTGACAGGCCATGGAAGGCACGGGGAGGCATTTAAATGCCTCCCCAATCCTTCCAGGGGGCCCCTGGCCTGTCTGCCTCGGAGTCACTGGGGGGATCGCTCTCCAAGCCTTCCCTCTGTAGCCATGCATGCAGAGGCTTTGGCTGTAGTGGGCGTGGCCAACTCTGAAGCCAGCCGGAACGCCGTTCCTGTGCGTTCCTGCCCAAAAATAGCCCTGGCAGGGAGAGATTGAATTATGGCCCAATCAGATCACCCCCTGATGACGATTTGATTTAATTTTTCTTCCCTCCAGGAAGTACAGTGATGAGAGTGACAGCGTTTGATGCCGATGACCCCGCTACGGACAATGCCCTGCTGAGATATAACATCCTTAAGCAGACTCCCGACAAGCCGTCACCGAACATGTTCTATATTGACCCGGAGAAAGGAGACATCGTCACCGTGGTGTCACCAGCCATGCTGGACCGAGAAGTAAGTCACACTTTTGTCATCAGATAATTGCAGTGTCAGAAAGAGGTGGACATGATGCGGTAGATTTGCACTCGAGTGACGCAGGCGCACGTTCTTCATTGTCTGTTTATTCTGTGTCTGTCTCGATGACTTGGTTGGTACCGTTGCTTCTGAGCACCTTCTATATGCAACAGAAGGAACATATTAGTGTCTAGGTAACTAAAAACAGTTCTCTAAAGCGTTCCATGATATCCTTCGAGAGGGTAGTGGTGTTAGTCAGTGGCACCTTAGAGACTAAAAAGATTTTCAGGGGTGTAAGCTTTTGAGAATCAAAACTCTCCTTGTCAAATATGGGTTGTATCTAACAAAGGGAGCTTTGACCCTCAAAATTTTATACCCCTAAAATCTCACCAGTCTCTACCAGTGCTCCCTTTAAGCTATGGACTCTTGTGAGCAAAAATTCTACTTTGTGAGCTTCCGGCATTAAAGGTGTGAGCAGGTGATTTGGCCACTGCATAGATTAGTTTGCTCTGGAGCCCTCCTTCCTGAGCTAAGGCAGAAATCTGTGCGCTGGAGGCTAAAAAAAACTTTTGAGCTAGCTCACACTAACTCAGCTTAGACGGAATACTGGTCTCCGTGGTACCACTGACTTAGATCTACATGTTATTCTCCAGTTTGCTGGCTTCTTTACATGTTCCATGAGATCTGCCTGTAGGAATGAAGAAGAACAAATCAAGCAGGAGTCTAGAGATTCAAACCTCCCCCCTCCCAAGATTTGGATCCAGTAACACACTTACACCAAACCTTCCTCCATTGGAAAATAACTCCTCCCACAAAGAAAGCCTTCTTCCAATGAAAGAAGCTTTTCTGCATAATAGAAGGTCTGCCTTCATCAAAGAAAGGAATAATGGTAGGCTGGAGTCATTGGATCCAACTTCATTACTCTAATTTATTCCTCAGCTAGTAGATGGGGTTGCTCGTTGAAGCATCATGGGAGAGCCAAAGAGGAAGGAAGTTCTAGCATCCAAGAATGAACCCGCAGCTGAAGGCTTGTCAGACTCGCAACGCCTGGCAACCACAAACTTTAACAATGGCGAGGATTATGCATGATAATGAATCACCGAAATTAATGTGGTTTTAGAGTTTTAATCAGACATGTATTATCTGTTTTCAAATTAAGACACTGCTAATTTGGAATCTCATAAAACAGATAAAGGTCTTACGCAAATAAGCTGCTTAAATTCCCTATGGTTCTCTAGAGATTTCCTGCCATCTACAGAGGAAGTTCTTGCCGTAACATCGGATCTCAGTAAAAAGTAAAATAAAATCACACCCTTTGCAGGATGGGGAAGGTTATCCAAGGTCAAAATTGTTGAATGTAAGCTGTGGAGTTGGAGTTCAATGCGGTGTTGTGGTGTGTTTGGCCCGACTGTTAGGTCTTGGATGTGTACCTTTCAGTTCTAGATGACCATGAAGCTTTCCGCGTAGCTTCTTAGTCCTAATGCGTCTTCTTGTGGCATGAAATTGACACAAATTTTAAAATCCACTGGATGCTTTAAAGAATATGGTGGGAATTGTTTATTAATGTTGTTAGAGAGCAATCCTGAACAGGTCTACTGAACAGAGCTTAGTCCCAGGGAAGTGTTTTTAGGATTACTGTGATATTCAAGTTCAGTTGTGTAGTTTCAGGTGGGTAGCTATGTTGGTCTGATATTCAGGTTTAGTTGGGTAGTTCCAGTTGGGTAGTTTCAGCTTTGACTTTCAAAAGCTTATACCCTGGAAAATCTTTTTGTTCTTTAAAGTTCAGTTGGGGTGTCTTGCTTCTGAAATGCTTTTGAAAATGGCCTCTTGATGGTGGTTGAGCCTTATGCTAGCTATAGCATTTGCAGGATTGTACAGTTAAGGGCATTTGTATGAATTATCATTATGTTGAGCATCCACTGAAGGCATGGAGACGTAGGGTATGTTGGTTGTGATCCACGTGTTGAGTTATTCTAAACTTGACAACCTAGGCTCACATCCAACAGAGTGTCACCATTGTGGGAAGTGTACCATGCACATTATTACTGTGTTAAAACCACAGATATGTATTCTAGGGTGAAGTGTACCAAACTCAAAGTTTAGTCAAAGGGTTCACAAGGGGTAGATTTCGCTCTTTGTAATGTGTAAATGTGTTGGAGATGTTTGGAACGAAGGAATACTTAACCGTAAGTAAATGTCAGTTCCGTAATTGTAAGTAGACGGTAATTCTGAACAGAGACTTCTGGTTCCTGTATTCATGATAACTGCCTACGAAGTTCAAGACTTTTTTTATTATGGTTTCCACCAGTTACACTGGGCATTTTTTTCCTCCTTTCCCCAATATATAAACAATCTTGAGATAAAACCAATTTGCTGGAAATTGAAAAATCAATAGGTAGAAATGAAGAGGCCTCCATTCTCCACTTTGTTCTAAAGGTCACTAGTGATACATGGAATAATGATGCTATTTGCATACAAAAAGTGTTCCCAGTATTGAACAAACTGGACAGAGCATGACAGAACAAGAACTTAACCACGCATGGTTTCCTGTTAACAGCTTAACCTCTGCATCATCCCCACCCTCCACAGCAGGATTCTATCATAAAAGTCTTACAGAATTATTTTGGCTAGGCAGGTGAACTGTGTGTGTGGTGGTGGGTGTTAAGGCTTGATCATTTAATGCCTAAGTGCTTTGCTTTACTTTGCAAAGTTTCTTTTTCAGCTCCCCACTGCATGCTTTATTCCCATATGTGCCCCTTCCCCTACACATAGAGTTTTTGAAACAAGTGGAGTCACAGTGGGTTGGTTCCAAAGTGCCCTTCCTCTCATGGAAGGAGTCATTCCATTTGCAATCTTCTTCTTCTTCTTCCAACAGAAATGCTTCCACTCACAGAAAGGGCACCTTTGGTTCACCCCCAAGGTTTGGATCCAACCTGGTGACTCTCGGCTTCATAGCTGAATGGCAGTGTTGGTTGGTTGCTCATAATAGAGAGCAGGTAGACTCTCTTGGGTCTGATCCAGCCAGACCAGTCTCATGTTCTTAAAGAGCAACCTGTGTTTCTTAGGTCCAGGTCCAAACAGTGGCCTGTCCACCAGTCACTTCTACCGATATGGCTGAGTAAACCCCAATGATTAATTTCTAGAAAACAAGAGACTGAGATTTCTGTCTGTTGTGACAACCCTTTGCATGAATCCTAGCTCTTTGAGGGCTTTCTATAGCTACTAAGTGCTGGAAAGAATGCATGGGAAAGAGAAGGCTTAGAGGGGACATGATTGCAGTCTTCAAATATTTGAAGGGCTGTCATGTAGAAGATGGAGCAGATCTATTCTCTCTTGCTCCGGATTGCAAGACTAGATCTAATAGGTGGAAATTACAAGGGAGTCGACACCGGCTAAATATCAGGAGAAACTTCCTAACTGTAAGAGTCATTGAGCAGTGGAACAGACTGCCTTGGGAGGTGGTGGATGCTCCTTCACTGGACGTTTTCAAGCGGAGGCTGGATGACCATCTTTTGGGTATGTTGTAGGGCTGTCTTTTGACTATGCTCCTGCAGAGTGTAGGGGGTTGGACTAGATGACCTGCAAGGTCCCTTCCAACTCTAACATTCTATGATTCTCTATACCTGCTTGGGGACTCCCTTCATCTGGCTTCCCCTTGCATGGAAAACAGTGATCGCCAAGAAGTCCTGAGATAAATTAAGCTCTGACCGGTCTCAAGTTTTCCTTGTTTGAATGGGGAACTATGAAACACAGACAGAAATAAGACATCGCTTCTAAAGCCAGAAAGGAAATACATTTGCAGGAAAAGGGGTGTATCATCACAGGGGTGTTGAGTGTTCTGATTTGCTGGAGAAACAAGATGCTGCAAAAGAGATTTGGCCAAACATTGTGCATCTGGGGCCCCCATCGTTTGACGTAGATCCACACAGTTTCCCATGCTGAGCAGATAGATTGGGG